AGGTGAATTTCAATACACCACACAAAATAGGTTTCGGTAGAATGGAAGACAGAGCATTTTGGAGATGTGTAACAGTTGTGTTATACACAGAGCATCTGCTTTCCAGTATTCACTGTCCTTTACGGTGAAGAGTATTTCTTCACACTTCTGGGCATTCCCAACTGTCACTAAAGGTTACGTTACTAAACGACACTATTTGTTGTCATGTTATCTATGTCAGCCATAGCGTTAGTGAAATGAATTTAAGTGTTATGAAGGATAATTTCTTATGCATTAAACTATGTGAAAAGTTTATTGACCACATGCATGTAAAGTCTTGCATATATCTTGACAAAATTTTCATATTCTATGACCAGACCAGAATGTTTTGCCTCTAAGTAAGTAAGTAAGTAAGTAAGTAAGTAAGTAAGTAAGTAAGTAAGTAAGTAAGAGAAGATGAATGTCACAATGTAGGATTTGAAGACTATTCTATGTAACAGTGAGATTTTAATTCACTGATTCATTTGGTTCACTTGAAAGCCATTGGTCGAATAATTAACAGACATGAATGAACCGCCACGCCCCCCCCCACACTCACGCCACCCTTTAAAGAAGCTGATGACGCTATTTCTGATATTCTGTTACAAACTGTCAATTCAATTATGTAAATGCATTTATTCCCTAGACAACAGTAGTTCAACGTGCTATTAATTTCTGGGAGAATGCTCTAACAGTTAAAAACACTTCAAGTGGCAGAATTCATGTTCAAAGGTAAGTGATTTTATTGTGATTTCTGATGTTTAGTTTCTTTTCTAAAAATCCCCATGGAATTATGTATTGAGAAGTCGTGAGTTTCAGTAGCTTCTTCCTCGCAGGATGCATCAGATACTAAACTTGGATGGTGTTTGATACTCTAGCCATACTACAATCTAATCTCGATACAACAACAGTTGCAGATTATTTGAATAAAGCAAGAACAACAAAGGTTTTTTCAGAATCCAATGGTACCATCATTATGTATTTCGTTGGCTTCTACTCAGCTGCTTACAGGCCAAAGTCATTATTAAGCATATCTACAGAAACAATTTTAACATATTTGCACAGAGTTCATTTTTAAACACAAAAGAATCAATCAGTGTGTACATACAGTATTACATATATGTAAATCCTGTCACTCAGGCGAATATGACATTTCATAATGAAGTTATATTGAGTTAAAGAATAGTTTAAAAGTAATTATTAATTGTATGCCACCCAAAACATTTGTACTCTATTCAAAATTCATAGACTATGTTACTGCATAGGCGTCTATGGGAAACACTACAGAATTACGACTTAGTAGCAGGATAGTTAAGCTGTATAGGTTGTACTATATATATATATATATATATATATAATTCTATTTAAAGCCATTTTGTAAATTCACCAGCCTACATCATAATTCTTTAGGTACTGTGAAGGTGGCATGTATAATCAGTTTGAAAATGGTACAAAGTTTTGCACGCAAACACAGTGCAGTGCAAGTGAAAAATGCGGTGACATTAATATACCATCTCAATATTTGTCTGTGAGTTATTTATACAATGAATAATCGATATAAATGCGCAAACTTTCTGATCCTATTGACTGACTTGATTAATGGGATATTTTTCGATTAAAACTGGAAACCACACAGTATTTTTGGTACAAGTATGGAATTTTCAGCATATGATATCGGTAGCCGAAGTTTTGAAGGCCAACTATAGATATCAGGTGTGTGTCGTCAGGGGATCAAACACCAGATCATATGCATGGTCGGCGAGAGTCCTAACCGCTGTGTTACCAACGCACAATATGCTTCCTTTTAAACTGAATACAATTTCGACATGTAGTAGAATGCTCGCCAACCACGCGGTATGTGGTCCCGGATTCGATTCTCGACCGACGAACTCCAAAACCTCGCTAAGCTAATACTGAGACTAGCAAAGAGGCAAGATTGGCATGAAGATAGCACCCGCATCACATACAAATGAATACTACCGCTACCGAAACTTCAAAGCTCTAGTATGAAGCCTTATTTTCCACTGAAAACTAAGAGGAATAAAATAAAAATACAAAATCTAGCAGAATAGGTGAAAAAAGATCGTACCCCACCCATCTTTTATTCATACTTCTCTTGTTAAAGGCAGTCACCGTTAAAAATTCGAAAAGTATTTTCCTTTATACGAGATTTAAAGCAGTCCAGCATAGTTAAGGTTTATCTAGATGATATTTACGAAGCTCAATTTCACCTACTGTTATGCATTTCGCCGAAAATTATACATTCAAGCTGAGTACTGAGTAATAAGAGAACTGAGCATAATCTTCTCTCACTGAGCAAGTGGATAGTTCCCTAACTTAAATTATTGACTTGACAACCGACCGAAAGGAGAAGATCTATGCATGAAGTCTAGGCTGTGAGTTATATTCAAAAAAATAATTCCATGACGCTACCGAATATTTTATGTTACTGTCTTTAAAGGATTGTCTGAAAATGGATCATAGAAACGAATTGACGACAGTTTACCCGAAGGGTTCAGGATTACAAGCAGATGGTTATTTGCTGTTTGTCGACAGTCAGAATACAGGAAGCTGTCTTGATCCAAGTACCAATGCCTACGCTAGCTCATGTCAAATGGATCCGAAAACAGATAGGTAAGAGTGTGGTTAAACCCGAAAAGTGTTTTCCTTATAATGAGTATTTTATACCGAAATTAATAACATTTCCTATCAGCATTGGAATAATGTCACTTTCATACAGGCTTATTACATTTATGAATCACTTATCATTTTGAAGTGTGTGTGTGTGTGTATAAAAGTCTTTTATAATGTATTCATTTTGTTAATTCTTTTTGTACATTTCAGACCGGTTGCAGGTTTGTAAACTTCTGTCCTGCAAAAACTGTGCTGGAATATCCTCAGTCAAGGACTTTGTATGATACAGCCAGACATGAGATTGCTCATGCCCTCGTATGTTTCGAACTTTTTTTAAAAATTTAACGTGCATGTGTATTACGTGAGGATATATATTAAAATTCGACCTAGGATAATGATTTAAATGAAAAAAGTAGTCTAGAAATATTCAAGAAGTTCATCAAGTTGAACTTTTACTCTTAACCTGAGGATAGTAGAAAGTATAATTGTTTGAAATAGATATCTATACTTTGGCATTTAGTAAATTATTGACACTGTCATATCAAATGATGGTATCAGTCAGAGGTAACGGAGGATGATTTTGCACACTGATCTTATATAGTCAAATTAGGTTACTCTCAGACTGCTCTTGACCTCTGCCGATCTGATTGTATTGGTTGTGAATGAAATTAAATATCGTACGTCCGATGGCAGAATACTTGCCAACCCAACATGTGGTTTGGAATTTGATAGCCGGATCTCGCTTATCTGGTAATGAACTTGTAGAGAGGAAAGACTGAGCATAAGACTAGCAACTCCCCATCACCATCCCGTAAAAAACAAACATTACTGTTACTGGAACTTTAGAGCTGACGCTTGAAGTCCTGTTTCCTGCCGCGGAACAAAAAAGAATAAAATAAATAAAAGAAAAATGAAACGTAAACTCGGTGAGGATTTATAAGCATCCGTCAACATAAAAGCAAAGCTTCATTTTCGTATAGTTTTCTGTGTTCCCAGTCGATCTTGAGTACTATACAAAATTAATCATTTGACTGATATGCTATGACGCTATGAACTTAAAACTGATAACCCTTTTGGAAACAGAGAAAACTGATTCATGCAATCATTCGTTTTAAATTAATTCGTTATGAGCTGCAGGTGAAACGTTTAAATATGAGTTTAGATAACACACTGTGAAACAGCATTATTTGCCGGATGGCATTTCGAACAATAGAATGTTTTCAAACGTCATCCATTAAATAATACTGTTTCACTGTGTGCTATATCGAATAAATAAATTATTGTCGAATTTTAAAGTATTCGTTTTGTAAGGATTTTGTTTGATTGGTTGGAGGAATTTATCATGAGCTGAAATCAGTTGGAGCGACTATTGGACTGCTGTTTTGTCAGCCCCGTTAGGAGCTCTTCACCAGTACACACCCACCACAGGAATTTCGAAACCAAGAACTTCTGGTTACGAAGCCGGCGATCTAGTAAACCATTAAGCCAATGGGACCCAGTCCAATGGCCATCTCATGAATTCCAACACTTACAAGTTCTTGACAGAGCGCAACCACTTCACAATGCCTTCTTCGATGAGTTACTGCCTCACCCTCAACCTGCTATACCCTACTTGTCACAGCTTCTCACAAGAACATCAGATAACTACCTACCTGAATAAGGCCAGTCGCTAGTGAGCATCAGATCCGGTCATTGGATCGGGTCCCAGTGGCTTAGTGGTCTACTAGCTGGCTCGCCTTGTAATCAGAAGGTCCTCAGTTGGAACCCTGAGGGTTGGCGCGTACTGCTGAAGGGCTAGTTCCAAACTAGGCTGAAGAAAGAACTGTCCAGTGCTCCAAGGTTTTCCAATGGTTATCTTACCGATGTCAGCTCATGATGAAATCCTCTAACTATCACAGTGCTCAAGTCTTACACATATTTTGAGTATGAGTTTCGTCAAAGAAAATGCAGCTGATGCTGAGAATACCTAATGGATTATTTGACTGACAGACTACTACTTCAGTAATAATGGGTGATGATCCAGTGAGAAATAAAAATTTAAGTTGCAGTAAGATTCACACAAGTTTCATCTTGATTCCCAGTGAGTTTTCAATAACCACTCACCACATTACAACCCCAGATGGACGCACTATCCGTTTACAGTTAACTTCATGATTTTTATTTAATTTCTATTTGAATATTACATAGTCAGAAATGTTCAAAAATGTACTAATGACATTTTTATTCAATTTGATCATTAATATAAAAGTGTGTTTACATCATCAGACAAGCTTTTCCTTGTTTTTATTTTCTATTGTTCCTGTTCTGTGAAATATTATAAGGGATTTGCACGAATAAACTTTGCATTCATGCGTGCACCTGATGGAAGTCCTAGAACCCAGAGAGATCCACTCACGAAAATACCAACAATCAGGGATCAATATGGAGTATACCAGCCAAGGTAAATTTTAAAATCAGTTAATAGGTAAACTGCATGTATGTTATTTGCAAATAGCGAACTGTACTCTATGCCCTGCCAATTGACCAAAGCAGTTAGCTAGAAGTGATATATGATGCATACTGACTTGACAGTATGCAGTATTAAGACATTCTAGGTACATTCCTGATGAGACTGGCTACAGCAGCGGAAAACCGTTGACTAATCACCAGTAGGCTAGTGAAAACATCAACGTTAAGCTCATTTGTCATTCTGAATGTGTATTAGGCATTTCGATTTCTCCTGATATTCATGTTCACTAATTGGCGTAAATTGGACATTCGAAATTCAAAATCTTCTGTGCCGTCACAAGCACAGATTCAAATTCTGAGAGTGGTCATGATGAATCATATAAGGCTGTGAAAACATGGCCCTCTTTTTCTTCCATTATTGTACTAGTACTTGTATTATTACCGAGAATAGTTCGGTTTCTATTGGCCACTTTATTTTTTCACTACATTCTTACTTCTCTTCTTGCATCAAGGCTTGAAGCTTCAAAATTTTAGCAGCAACATTGTTGTTTTGTAAAAAGTAAGGCTGCTAGCCTTGCGTCCAACCCTCTATTGTGTTCCAGGCCCATTACCGACTAGGCAAGGTTTAGGTATGTGTCAGCCGGGAATCGGACCAGAACTACCTGAGCGGTTGGCTAGCCTTCTACCACAGAACCACATATACCTTCACTGTATACAAGAATTGAAATCGCAATCTTGAATTCAACTATAACGATCAGACTGCCTCTGCCTGTTTTCTGTTCTCTAACTTTCAGCTGACAACTGAAGCCCGAAAACAACCGAATAGACTTTTTGTCTAAGATAATAAAATGCAAAATGCTGCACATTTTAAACAAATCCATCTGAGTTTTGTTATCAATAATCACTTTCACGTATGTATTCTCTCCTTTTCATGAAAGTAATACAACAGTGAGAGAAATAACACGTAGGTGGGTTAGTGCAGCTGGGACATATACGAAGACATTCCCTGCACTTGTTACAGAAACTATTATTGTAAGTTAGACGTAATATAGCAACTTTTTTATTCATATAATTATACAAAAATTTCAGAAATATTCACCATAAACTGCATTCATTTATGCCACTTCTTATTTTCTTAGTAAAATATTACATTTCTTACAGATGAAGTTTCATAAAATGCTTCGATAAACCGTTTTCCTGCGACCAGAATTTGGGTTTGTAAATCTCTTGTTTGGGAACAAATACTCGCCGATGACACTGGCTAGCGCTCACGCTATATCGTGAACTGGCGTTAGCCGGAATCCATCGATCATTGAACCAGGTCCCAATGGCTGAATTCTCTAGAAGCTCGTCTTTTAACTGCAAGGTCCTGGGCCCGTTCTGCGTACTTCTTAAGAATCTCAAACTAGAAAGTAGCAGCTATCCTCAGTACCCCTAAGTTTTCCAATGGTCCTCTAACCGATGTCATTCCATGATAAAATTCTGTAACACATCAAATCCCTGCAAACCAACACTTAAATTAATTGGCATATAGCTGAGAATACTGCCACGGTGGGATTCGAGACTCTTCACCATGTAAAGTGATCGAATGACAACAACAATGTACTGAAGTAGATATAGGTAGATAGGATACAACCTGAGGGGAACACTGAGTGACATCGAACCACAAACGAGCCTCTCAGTACAACCTGAATTGCAAACGACGAGATGGATGCTTGAGAGAGACAGGGAGGAGATGGCATGAGGAGGAAATGAAAATCTATGGGCAGTTATTGGTCCAGCTAAGGATGACAGAAGACAAAATAATGAAATGGAAATGTGCTATTTAAGCCTTATGTTCCAGTATCTAAATCATAACGAGGCTTAGGCGTTAAGCTTAGACCCTTTGCTATTACCTCACCATTCTTGAAGAGAATGGGGAAATTGCTGTTCATAAACCTTGAACCTTCATTGAAGGCTTTCAACTACCCAAAACCATTTTCTTAAAAAAATATTAGGTGTACTTTAGATACTATTGTAGTCTTATATCGTAATATTGTCTATAGGTTAAACAGAGGTGTCCAGTATATTCGATGTGCCTTCCTAGATTACTTTGACTCTGTACCTAGGCTTCTTGTGTTAAACAAGCTTACTGCGGCACAAGCACAGTGCAGGATTAATAAGTGGTCGCATTCTAACTTTTCTGATAGGAAGCGGTACACTGAATATAATAGGAGGTTTTCTATTGTTCTTACTTACTCCAGACGGTGTTCCTTAGGCTGCATTTTTTCTACTTTTTCTACTTGATTTCTTCTTAAACGACTTCACTCATTCTGATGAAATTAGTTTTGTTGAGTATGCACATGATTTTACTGTTTTCATGCCAGTTACTTCTCAACCAGACTTTTCCAAAATGAAAAGCTTTTATCAGACATTGCGATCTCCTGCCGACCCACACCTGATATCTATGGTCGGCCTGCAAAATTTGGGCTACCGATATCACATGCTGAAATTTGCATACCTCTGCCGAAAATACGGTGTGGAATCAAGCTGTAATCAAAAAATAAATCTATGTAAGAGATTAACGCAAAGAATTCTGTCTAGCCCTCAACACGCAAATCCCTCCATATATCTCATCAGGTAGGACTATAACCACCAACTTAAAAAGAACTTATGCTCAGACGACTAAGTATACAGGCTCTGTGATCCCTCATTTGGTAAGCATTTTACGTAATGAGAAAAGTGTAAGGTGTGAGATCACTAAGATACTGCGAAACACTAAGCAAAACTGCCCTTTTCTTATGCTTTCAGGAATATTCTGAGGTTATTTTTTTCAATAAAATTGTAATTTTACATTCATATTCTTACTTGACAATATGATCAGTGTCAATGCCCTGTTAAATGATTTCTGTCCATACAATGTAATGTAAAGAAGAAATTAGATGCAATATTGCATTACATGCTGAAAATATCAAAATTAACGTTTAGAATGCAGCCATTGTTATTATTCTAATTCATAACTGAAAAGGATTGGTTTACGGAGAGCATAAGTAACCTATTTCGAATTGGTCCATGATTTCTGACATCCATCACCTCTTACCAACATTCATTTTCCGGTTACATATTTCCATCCATACCCTCATCATATAAGCGCAGTTGAAAGCTAACTCCTCCGGGTGGCTGTGGTCACCAATGTCGAAATTAGAGCCCCTTATGAGATAGACGGTTAGATTTTCTCACACTTTGATGTTCATTATCTAAGTATAAAATGCGCCTGACTGGAATAACAGAGTGTGAAACAGAATACAAATTAGTCAGATTGAGAAACAATGAGGATTTGGTTTCAAAAAGGACTGAATATGCACGGTCACTGACTATCGGATCATACCTGAAATACCTGGAAAATATTCTCTGATTTACTTACACTTCAGTCAACCGAAATTCTTACGAGTAAGCGGAAAGTCTACAGTAAACAGTCTATAAACGTAGTCTCAGAAAACGATAACATACAACAACACACAACAATGAAGCAATAATGAATGAAAACTAATCAAAAGCCTGTGGTAAAATAAATCTTACCGAGAAATTTATGTGTGCTTTTACTATCCTTAAAAGTTCTCCCAATGGATTTCACCTCTTGTTAACTTGATATAGATGCGTTATGAGCCTTATGCTTTTTTCCGTAATCAAAATATAAATTCACAGACTTCACGACCTTGACCTTGGCGGCCTGTTCGAATTTTTGCGCCAGCTACTTTAATATCTACATTTTATTTAGATTCGTATTCTATTGTATTTTAGAAAGAAGCAAAGGGTCATTTTCAGTGTCAATCTGTAGATGGTGTTGATTTGGAAAACGAAGGCCCTCCTGGTTCGTTTGGCTCACATTTTGAAGGCAGAGTATATTCGGTATGGAGCAATAGATTTTATCCTAAATGTTATAAACACGATGGCTGAAATTGAGTGGTATTTCCTAACTCGTTTAACAAAGTAGCTGTGTCATTGTCAGTATTATACGGTTGGAGGTAGTCGGCCACAGGAGGTGCTACCTGACCTAGGTCTCGTGCTAGTTGGCACTCACCAGTCGGCAAGGCGTATCTGAAACCTCGAAATAAATCATGTCTCTTCTGAGATTAGAACTCGCGTCAGCCAGTGGTGCAGTCGAAGACGTTTCCACTGAGCTATTCGCGCTCGCGATTGGATATTTTTGATTGAGCACTAGTCAGTAACTAGTGTAATGTGTCTAATCGATGGTGGCCGTATTGCAAGGTTGATTGATACAATTAAGTCTGCACCAAACAAAGGACCAGACACATTACTCCAGTTACTGACTTGTGCTCAATCAAAAATAGCTGTGTAAGGTTTAAGGAAAATTTCATCATAAAGAAAACGAAGGACATTTCAAGGACCAAGCTGCCTTGAAAGTTTACAAAATCATATTCATATTTGCCAAAAATACAAAATAGTTTGTAACAGGGGGATATTGAGTGTGATTCAGTTGACAATATTACTTCAAGGCGCTTCCTGAAACAAGAAGGATAGAGTTTTGAACTGAAAGTTTGAACTCCTAAACTCCTTCCTACCAGCTCGCTTCTATTTTTATGTAATTGATCGACTATTACATTTTCCCCAAAGTTCTATTCACTGGTCAAATGAACTGTCAACTACTTCGCTTCTCATTTATTGAAGAAATTCCACCTTGTCCAGTTTTGACCTGTAGAAACCACTTCTGAGTACTTGTATTAGTTACATCACTCAAACATCTCCAATTACTCGTTTATATACTGCTTTACTTATTGATGATAAATATGAGTACATTTGAACAGACTTTCATGATGACGTCGTTGATAAGGAAAAATCTCTCCTCTCTAAAAATTTGTGTCCAATGTGTTCAAACATTTGTTGGTAATCAGGAAGAAATGGAGTTGGATTGGTCATATTCTGAGAAAACCATCAAGTGACATCACACACCATGCCATTACTCGATTGGAAACCGAGTGGGAAGCTTCGAGTTTGTAGTCAGGGCGAGGGCGACCTGGAAGAGGTCATGCGAAGAGGCGATGATAATATCTGAACAGACATGAAACCAGCTGAAAACAGTGACAGAGAAACGAACGCAGTGGAGACGTACCTATGCTCCACTAGGAATTAAGGCAAACGACAATAAAAACAATAATAATAATAATCACAGTAATCTGCCCACAACTCATGAAATCAAATTACTGTGTTCAGTATTAATCCCATACTCTTCATCATGCAAGAACTATTCAGGTAAAACAGTTCATATAATTCGCTGAGAATGTTTCGACTTAAGAGCCAGAAAAATGTGAAATTTACAGGTCAATAATAACCGTCGTGTATTACTTTCATGCTTCGTATTGTAACTTTATTGCAACATTAGTTCTTATGTGTCCCTATTATATCCTTTTGAATGTTTCTGATATTATTATTATGTCATCAAGTTATTGTATGTGTTCATAATTCACTTTGGAAACCTGATTTCTTCAATTATAATAATCTATCTTTAGAATGAGCTGATGGCTGCTGCCTCCGAACTGGAAGCCTTTGCATCAAAATTAACGCTTGCATTTTTCGTGGATTCAGGGTAAGTTGAAACAGGATCACTGTAGACTAAACGCTTTCCTCAACTACATATCTTACACTATGGTGAAATCTAAATTACAAACTACGCTGTAGAATCACCTCAACTAGCGGCACTGCACCTATGTTTACCTACTTAAATACATCAAATTCTTTTCTTCATTTTCTCAAGGCTTTATATTTACGTATTTTCAGGACATTTCATCACTGGAAGACTTTGAAGATTTCATTATCTCGGAAACTTTGCATTCATTCTAATGCTTCAGTGTGACTGCTTAGTTTAGGAATTCGACGAACGCTGTTTACTTTCCAAGTTTTACTTTGCACGAAGTTTAAGTCAGATCATGAATTGACATTAGTTTGATAACCACTGAAGCCCTGATTATAAGTCCTGATCAGTGGGGTCCACCAGATTGGGTATCGGGATAAATACTCGCCGATTACATCGACTTGCAGTTACTGTATATATTGTGAAATAACAGAAGTCAGCATTCATAGACCTGTTCGCCATCTATCCAGTGAGAGGGAGTTTGTCTCATAGTCTGAGGGTTCTGGATGAGTACTATTAGATGGTGTCAAACTAGCACACAACAACTGTTCGGTACTCTTTGTTGTTGTTCTTCTATAATGGATATCATTTCAAGATCTGACTTGAGTCAGGTTACTTTCAAAACTAGTTAACAAAAAGATAGACAAAATATGAAGTATGTGGTCCACATTGGTATCCCTCATTCCAACAAATGTTCTTACTAAAGTAGCTGCATGCTAGTAACGCTTCTCGTAAACGCTTATAATCCGTATGAATTATTCTTGTTAAAAGTCATAGATTATGCATATGGAAATGCGTGCTAAAAATCTTTTGATGAGTTTTACTGTAGGAACACTAATCGATTTTAATGGATTTGCCTAGTTTAGAAGACAATACACTTGATCCTGAATTTTTAAGAATAATTTTACTGACTTACATTCATTCTGTGCAAGAGTCAATACAATACATGCCTCTTTTTCTAGACTTCTGATGGCATGTTGTCATTTGGTAATCACACTTTCATTGAGATTGTAATCAGAAGCATTTTCAAAGATAAATTTATGGAAATGCATGCGACAGAAAGCATATGAGGCCACTTAACTCTCAGTTTTAAAATATGTATGTGAGATTCATAGATAGCCAGCCCTTAAGAGCTTAGATTACTCCTATCCGTTTACGAATGAGGATCAACCGATTGGCTGTCTGATGAGACGACCATTTTTGTGGACAATTTTCTAAGATAATACAGCCTAGGGGAATAAAGAATCAGTGCATGAAATACCCACGTCAGATAGTGAAGTCCATAGTTCTGTCATAAAAATATCTTACAACATTTTCGAGAAATTTCTCGGACAAACACGAGTATCCTGTTATTACCAGAGAATAATTTCAAACTTCTTAGATTCTTCAGCTGCAATTCTAGGACTAAAATGATTATTTCATCACAGTGGTTAGAATCAAACACTGGCTCACTTATACTTCCAGGAGTGTCAAGGAAACATTCGACGTGATTTTATCAACCTCCGGAACTTTCCACATTATTTTTTGCGAATAATTTCCATCAGGCTAATAATACCCTTTTATTTAAAGCGGAAAGACATAACAGACACAGCACAATAGTCTAAAGTCATAATTAGGAAATTTCATGGCGCATTCTAAAATCACACGATACTGACATTATGAAAAAATTAAACGTTTGTGAACATAAGTCGTTTAACAAACAGGAATCAAATTCATTTTTCATGTTGGCTGTTAGGCAGCATCTGGGATCGGAAACCATAAGGAGCACACCTGTGTGTTTTTCATACTTATGAATTAGCTATAACTGCATTTCATAATAAGTAGTATGGCTTGTGCTACTGATAAGGTATGTCTATAGTACATAAAGAGACGTTCGTTAGCATGGAAGCATCAAATAGCAGGGATAATAGATTCGATGTAAGAGAAAGCGAATGATTCAGAGTTACGAAGATACATGGGAGACGTGAAAGGAACACAAAGAAACACAATATGAAGCAAGGCCAGATGTAGCACAACACGGGGGATCTATGCAAATGGTGATTTGAAAATAAGGTGTACACGATTTCTCTGTTTAGTGATATCATACTTCAAATAAACATTCCTTAACCAAGTCACTTGTCCTCTACGGTTACATGAGCGCCCTCAAGCGTCATCCATCACGTTACTTCAGATTCACTTTCTGCTCAGTATATATGAGCTCATGACATTGACTTATCTATACCGGCGATTTCGTATACAAACACAGCTACGAATATCCACTGGAAGAAGAAGCAGCCGTAAACAGTTATTACTGATTATTTCAATTTTTGTATCATCTAATGGGCATATTCACAACTCAGATTAAAAGTAACAAGTACCAAAGAATAGTTTTATATTTACCATTCTTAAAAATTATCATTTGAATCTGGTTTATTTTATTATACATCTAGGTGGTATACCGTAAACTTTCAATTGGCAGACGAATGGAATTATGCTAAGGGATATGGCTGTGAATTTGTTTCAGGCAGCTGCTACCAGTTCGCTTCCATGAAAAGAGCAAGGTATGTAAATTAAACATTTTGCTTGGTTATCATACACTATTCATTTTTGTGCGTCGGTGGCATGGTGTTTAGGACGCTTGCCGACCATGCACATGGTCCGGAGTTTGATCCCCAGTCGACGCACCGCCTTTACCTTGCTAACCTAGAAAAAATGCTGGTAAAAGGGAAAGGCTAGGCATGAAGCTAGCAGTCCCATCCTATAAAAACAAAACACTGCTACATAAACTTCAAGCCACTAGCTTGAAGCCCTATGTTCCACTGGGAACGTGAAGGAATAATTAATTTATTACTATTCACGGACAACACAGAAATCAAATTCGTCAAATACAGTAATAAATCCAAAGTCGGGTGATTCACATGAAAAAGATATTTCTAAAAATATCTCTCTAAGTATTAAGTTTATATTTTTGAGATGAATGTAGTCCACAAAACAAATCAGTCAATTCAATCTCCACTGTGTTGACCAAGAAACGCAAGGCCAAGGGAAGACGAAACTATCAGCAGCTGTTGTGAATATACCGTCGAAAAATGTCAGCGTATTAAATTTAAAAATCTCACTTGACAACTTACGCTGGTCGTGCGCCACACAGTCTTAACTTAAACAGGAAGTAAATCGAACCTTATTACTATTATTATTGCTCCTTTGGGTTCCTAGTGGAACATAGGGCTTCAACTGCACGTCTCCATTTGCTTCTGTCTTATGCTGTACTTTTCACCTGCATCCATCTTAGTCCATACTCTATCAACTCCTCTTCACACGATCTCCTTCATGTCAGCCTTGGACGTCCTACACGCCACTTCCGTTTCGGGCCTGACGCACGATGTCACCCGGCGGTCTCCTCAGAGAGTCTCCAATCCATCTCCACTTTCTCCTGCATATTTATTCGTTGGCGATTGGTTCTTGTTTCGTTTTGTTTCTTCCCATAGTTTCTTACTGGTAACTCTTTCCGGCCTCCAGCTTTCAGAAGCTTGATTGTGCTCAAGACTTCAGCTCTCGTTGGGGGATTGGTGTCAACTTGCAGTTGTGTGCGCGCTGTTGTTGGTATTTCTGGACGGGTTGCAGGTGATGGTCGGTTCAAGAGCCCTTTGAAGTGCTCCGCCCATTGTTTAATCTGTTTTTCTTCCTTGGTGATTGGGTTCCCTTGGCTGTCTTTTATAGGTTTCGCTAGTGTTGATCTCTTCCCGGATAGAGACTTGGTTATCTGACATAGTGTACTCAGGTCCCTTTTGCCTGCTGCCTTCTCAGCTTCAGTGGCAGGTTGTCGTAGAATCGTCTTTTGTCCTTCCTAGCACTCTTCTTCACTTCTTTGTCCAGTGCTGTGTAAGTTGAGCTCATCGTCTCCTTCTCCTGTCCGTCCTTGCATTGAATCATTTTCTCTTTCACCATTCTCCTCTCTTCTATTAGTTTCCAAGAGTCCATTGAGAGCCATTCCTTGTCTTGTCTCTTCTTTCTTCCTAGAACCGTTGAACACGTTTCGTTGAGAATCGCCTTCAGAGACTTCCAATGTTCTTCCACGCATGATTCTTCAGTGATGTCGCGAAGTGTTTCCTGCTTTGCTCTGACAGTTGCAGTGAAGTGTCTTTTGTGGTTTTGTCCTTCAGTTTCTGAGTGTTGAACTTGCATTGTGGTCTATCTCCAGCTATCCTCAATGCTTTTAGTTTCACCTTGAAAGTCGCTTCTACTAGATAGTGGTCTGAATCCACATCTGCTCCTCTCCTTGACCTTGTGTCCAGTAGGCTCCGTCCCCACTTTCTTGAAATTGAGATGAAGTCTATTTGGTTCTTGGTGTTTCCATCTGGTGAAATCCATGTCGTCTTGTGTATATCCTTGTGTTTGAACACACTACCGCCAATCACCAAATCATTGAAGGCGCAGAAGTCTGAGAAGAGTTCACCATTGTCGTTCATTTCACCGAGGGCCTCACGACCCATGGTGAGTTCTCTTCCTGTGTTGTCTCCTCCCAGCTTCGCATTCATGTCGCCCATCAGGATTTTGATATCGCCATTTGGGACGTTGTCCATTATTGCTTGTAGTTGTCTGTAGAACGCCTCCTTCTTCTCTTGTTCTGAGACGTTTGTAGGCGCATGGCATTGAATGACTGTAACTTTCCTTCCTTTTGAGTTGAACATGGCTGTCATTATCCTGGAGGAGATTGGTTCCCACTGCATGAGAGCTTTGGCTGCTTTTGGTGACATCATGATGGCCACTCCCTCGGTGTGCTCATGGTTGTCCTCTAGGTGGCCGGAATAGATTACTGTCTCTCCAGTAGGTAGTTGGCACCTTCCAGTTCCGTTCCATCTGCTCTCGCAGATTCCCAACACTTCTATTCTGTACCTTCTCATTTCAGCGGCTATCTGGGCAGCCTTTCCAGTTTCGTACATTGTACGAACATTCCAGGTACCCATCCTTACTTTTGCTTTCATCGAAAGAAGGCATATCGGCTGACTGGCTTCCCGGAGGCTTTCACCAGCCTGCGTCATTTCGCTCCCCGATTCCAGCGAAAAGTAAGGCTATTGCTTATGTTTTTAGAATTTTTAATATATTTATTCGTTGAAGTTTCTGTAGCGATTTGGTTGTTTTACGGGGGTGGAGTTGCTAGCACCACGCCCCAACCCTCCCTCTTTACCCGGGCTTGGGACCGGCGAGAAAACTAGTAAGCTAGTAGCCTAGCAAGCTAGTATCTGACGATCTCGCAATCATTTCCGATTAAATTTTGTGAAGTATCGACTTGAATTTGATATATATATTAAATTAGCGACGTAAGTTTTCATTACGCTTGTAACAACAGAAGACAAGGGTCGGCAATAGTTGGTTTTATTACGGAAATCAGCACGTATTTATACATATTTCATGTACATAATTATAGCTTATTCAAGCAGACAAACACAGTCTTCTGATTGGTTGTTTCTTGCTCAAGGTGACTGGTTTCTCGGAAAGTTAAGCCATATATCTGCAAATCTTACTTGCCCACATGAAGTCTGCTGTGATTGGTTGTTGAATCAGCTTTGTTCATATTTTATCACGGCCAATTTTAGTGACCTAGACATTGACGTAACATTTTAGTACGCCTACTCATTTGCTATGAGCTGGGTCTTATTTTGATTAGACTATTAAGTAATCTGAAATTTTCGTAAAAAGCAGTTTGAGATGAATGGTAATTAATGCATGCAGCTTATATAGTTCGAGATGAAATTTTAGAATAGTTTCCTCTATAAATCCGACTGTCGCCAGGCTGTTTTGAGGCCATCCAGTGTTTACATCCCTTTGATCTGGCTAGTAAGCTTCCCTGTTTAGTGTGAATGGTATATAACTAAGCATGTCAATCAATCTGTAGTACACACTTTTATGCAATTATGCTTGGCTTTCTGGTAACCACTTGCAGTGTCAAGCAGATCACATATTGTAGTCTTAATCAACTCAATTTCCAGAGAAAACTGTGATCACATTTACCTGGAATTGTGTAAACTATGAATTAACATTTGCGAATTGCGAATTTGATTAATAGTTCTTTTATAACTCCACTGAACTGATTAAACGCGTCACCACTTTGCTATATCTGCGCCGCTAATTGTGATGAATGGTAATAAACTCGACTGGCACGCTAATACGCTTGTTTGTTCGTTGTACCTTCCAATTTACTGAATCAGACAAATATCAAATGACAAGATTGGTCTGTGACTGTAAGATAATGTATATTTTAGGAACAAAATGTCATATTTCAACGTTTTATTTACCCACAGCCGTGAGAATGGATTGTTATTATTGGCTGTTAATAGCTATTCTCATTGGTTAGCGGCGACCCGACAATGATCAGGTGAGACAAAGGGTGACGAATTGATCACACAATAAATCACAATATGCGTGAGAAATGAGATCAACACAGTAACTTCATCACAAGATAAATCACACGATTCGTCAGAATGGATGATATACCTGGTTCCTATCAGGTTCGTCAAAGTAGTAATCCAAAACTCGGGTGATCTGAACTGATTCGACTCTTTTGGCTGACTCATACTTGTACACCGCTGATAGGCTCAACCTGAAAACAACGAAATGGCTAGCAAACACCACCGTTCGATTTAAGTGGTAAATAACTACTCGTCTCAGGCAAACAGTTGCTTATGCTTACGTGCGGTAATGCTGTTCATCATGAAAACAGTAGGGACAAACATTCATTATTTTGTTGAATACATGTTAGTTAAACAAGATTACTTCAAATATTATCACACTTCGAACGAACAGGTTGAGCATATATTTTACACCATAAAATGTGAGAAAATCTTCTATTGCGTAAATGTAAAACACTTAGCCAACCAGTGACAAACTGAAATTATCGGATCAGGTGTAGCATGGAAATTTAGACATACGACGACAGAAATGTGATGGACGAAACGATACGAAACTACACCAAAGGATGTATCTTGTGAATTATGCGTCATATTAGTGTTTACTATTTTCCAGATGGTCACGCAAATACTTTGAAAAATAATGTCAAGATTTCTTTTTTCAGTATGTGTCCAGCTGAGAAGAACCAACGAAAGTGACTGTTGTCACTCGATGCTTTCCAATCAATTTTTCTTCTTCTACTTCTTGCTTTCTGCTTCTTCCAAATGTTTCTACTGATTTGTGACAATGTTTCTTTCACCCGATTTGTTCAGCGCTCCAATCATAATCAGTGACTCATGATAAACATTTATGATAAATCAATGAATTAAAAGGAAGCAGTGTAATTGTTTTTTTATTTTGTTTGTAATTATTATTCTTTATATTACAGAGGAGAAAGTATTAAACCCTACTGTGATAAACCAAATACCGTTACATGCAGGGATCTATATACATATGGTCTTTGTGGTGTGACAGAGTTCCCACTACCTCTACCACCTGCAGATCAATTTTTCGGTCCTGAAGCAGGTGCGAATTATGCCCGACTGGGAGGAAATGATCCGTTTAAAGATAAATGTCCAACATTGGGGGTATGTGAAATATTTTGAAATAATACAGCAAAAGCACAATATCTATACTATATCTATTATAATTTCTGACTATATAATTGTGACTTCTCTCCCAGGAAAATGTTTTATGTTCTATTTATTACGAGATTTACTTTCTAAAAATAGATAACTGAAATTCTTTTCGGTTCTCTCGGCCTACTTCAGCTGATATTGAGTTCAGTAGATATATATATATATATATACATATACATATTAAATTTGTCAAAATAACATTAGCAAACCCTTTTGGCTAATAAAGAAGCAAGCTTTCTGAGTTCTACTCGAATGTCATATATATCAGAAGAGCTGAATGGTCGCGCTGAAATCACGAATTCGTAGAAGTTAGAATTCATGGGCTGGTCACTAAGTCGAGAAGGTCGTGGGTTCTAAGCCCGGCGGGTGCATACTGCCAATGAGTGCCAAACTGGGACGAAAGAGCTGTCGAATACTCCCTGGTGGGTTTTCCAACGGTTCTCCAACCAATGTCAGCTCATGATGAAATCCTGTAACCAATCAACCAAATCGCTACAAACCAATACTTGAATATCGAAATTAATTTTGATAATACGGACATTTTATATTAACCTTCTCTTGTATACTGTAATTCATGTCAGTGAAGATTGTACATCGAAATGCGTAGAATAACTTCATAAAATTCACATTTATAATAGTAAATAGCTGATACATGCAGATTCAGAAAATCAAAAATGCAGAGAACGAAGTTTGTCTTCTAACTAATTGTCAGTTACGTTGAATATTACGCACTGATATACAGTGCATCAGCGTGTAATCAGTTAAGTACTTCCAGTGATCCCCGAATCACTTACAGATCTGAGACATGCTACTGAACGGCACAACGCTCAGATAGGTTTCCATCGCTTACTTGCCAGTGAAAAGCTTCATTTCTAGAGATCCACTGCGTACTACGAATGTAGAAGAGTATGTCTGTGTCCCAATTACATCTCCTCCAGCTTGTCTTTGAATTTAAAACCAGTCAAATGTCATTTTTTGTAATGAAACATGCACACACACAGAGAGAGAAAAACTATTTAATTTTTGGCTTACATTTAGGATGTATTTATCATACTTTGAACATTTCTAACTGCAATATTTTCTTCCAGTTCATAACTTCGTTTGGAAGACTAGACATCACGTCATATTGTAGACACGAAGAAAATAATGCTAAAATTGGTGAGCACTTATTCTTCAGATTCTTCCATCAATAATGTCTTTTACTTATTGGCATTTTGAAGCTGAAGAAGAAACTAATGTTAAGTGATAAATGTATTTCATAAAGAAAATTAGGTGTGATTAAGTTTAATGAAATAATAACGGAAGCAGTTACATATGTATATATATATATACTTTTCTAAAGTAAATCCAAAATTGATGGTGATCATCATATTGACAATAATAGTTTCATTCTGGAAAATGTATTCATAAACAATACAGCATTTTCTGTATATTTCATCGCACAGCTTTACTCCCTGTGCAGAATCTTCAAGTAGTGTATCATCTCCCAAAGCCACATTATCCCATCCTCAATTTCCTTCCAAAGATACATAGAAGCAGTATAGATTGCCATTCATGAACGTGTTGAGATGACAAAAGCAATATGAAATAGATTAAATTGGATGGATTTAGATGAATAGGAAATGTTAGTGGCTCAATGATTTAGGCGGGTCTGTTGTCGCCATTATACTCTATGACTGTAGAGTAAATATCTTTAATTATTTAATTCAATTTTACATTTTCCTGTCGATTGATTGGACCGAAGTGCTCGGTCTCAGGTTGACATGTCTGTTGGCTTCTTGTGCAGATGCTTCGATGATGTCTGGGCGTGTAATTAGAAGTGAATTGGAGGATGGTGACTTTCAGTGGCATCCGGGATGCGCATTTCGTCTTATTCGGGACTCGTCGTCCGGATGCACCAATCGACATCTGATTACATCCCCAGATAATGTCGAAGCATCTGCACAAGAGGCCGACATGTCAACCTGAGTCCAAGGACTTCTGTGCAATCAATCGACGGGAAAATCTTAAATTGAATTGAATAATTAATATGACCCGTTGCACAAGAGGTGGCTCTCGAAGCTCAAGTGGTCTAGTGGATAAAACTTTGGCGTTCAAAACCATGGGCACAGGGTTCGAGCCTCAGTGGGAACACCATCACTGACTCACTGAGGAATGCAGGTACATTTAGAGACGAGTCCTGAATAGGACGAAATCCATATCCTGGATTCCACTGCTAGTCACCATCCTTCAATTAACTCCTAAATATCTTTAAGCTTCATTGGAAATGTTGTTTTAAAGAAGAGGCTAAGAGATAGGAAACGGGATTTGCTGATAACTGATCAAATGAAGATTACAAAAATGTGTAAGAATGTGACTTTCACCTCGGAAGAAGTTCCAAAATCGGCGTTAAAATAGGTAGTACCAGTGGTAGATAAATTTCTACCGATAAGTGTAAAGCTGATTTCCACAAGTTTTACAACAACTCTGAATTCTCGCTAGGGACTTGCTGAAGGACTGATTTTCCTGGAGTTTTAGTGAGAAGTCGTGATCAGTGAGGTCCATCCAGTCAAGTTTGAGGATGTATTTCCCACCGACGACATTGGTTGAGGTCGCACTAACCCACGAATTGGTAGAAGTTAGAATTCATGAGCTAGGCAGTAAATCGGGTCCCAGTGGCTGAATGATATACGAGCTTGCATTGTAACCGGAAGGTCATGGGTTCGAACCCTGGCGTCTGATGCGTACTGCCGATGAGTCCCGAATTAGAATGAAACAGCTGTCCAGTACTCCCTGCTTTCAATGGTTCTCTAACCGGTATCAATCCGTGACCGATTGATCAAAACCCTGAATCTGTCAGCTTTAGAATGGCATAAAGTTGCGTGAATTACTTTACCTACGGTTGTATTCTCTGAAGTTTAATAACTGGCACTTTTCAGAAAACAGTAGACCGAAGGAAAACCCTTTTAAGTCAAATCCTTCTCTTTAAAAAGTGAAAAACACAAATACTTTCATACTGTTTGTGTAGAATACTTATTCATATGATTTCCTTGAAAGTCTACAATCATTTTAGCCATATTTCCTCGAGTTGCAATGAATCGAAATCATTCATCCTGTACGTTTGGATACTCATTGCATAGATGGTATTTGACCCCCAGTCTCAGCGATAGGCCTGACTCTTACTGGAATTCAGGTGAATTCAAGTGATGAACATCATATTGTACGAAACATTCCAATGGTAATTACCATTGGAAATTAATTACATTTAACGTTTATTTCATAAATTTTACTACCTAACTTGTATTATGCCTATATTATTTCTAATAGTCGAGGAATACAACGACTTCTTGCAATCATTTGGAAAAGCATTTTGTCTGCAACATACTGGACCTTGGAAATATCAACAAGGCCATTCGATGCGGACTTTCGACAAATCAATACAGGCCAGTTGTCACAGAGTAAGTTTATGTATTTGTTTGCAGCAGTAACGCTTCATATTATTATTCTATGTGAAAAAATCACCCGTATTGGTAGAAATAATTAGAAATGCTGGTTTTAGATATACTGATACAATTTGGGTAGCAGAATAACCGATATTTCAATCTCTGGAATTCTAAAATAAGATTTCCTAAATTTGAAACCTCAGTTAACCATGAGTTCAGAAATTCCACTTTCACTATCACACTGTATGTTGCCTTTCAAACATACTTCTAGTCTAGAACAACAGAAGTGTGCAGCAATGTCAGTCAGTACTGCAGGTGTTATTACTTAGACACATGAAAACAATGTGATATAATTTGATATTGAATAAATACTGTTGACTTTCATTCTCATTTAGTTTAAAGTTACTGCTGCAGATGTCATCCAGAAGGGTAATGAAAGGTTCACAACTTTAATCATCTAGCTCATGGAAGGAATACAACAATGGTGAATACACCCAACTGAGATGCAAAGCCACTTCACTACTTTAATCAGCTCCATTTTTCTTTCCACTTGATTTGGTTTTTGAATTCCCATTCGATTTAACTGAATCCCTTTACATAAAATCTGAAACACCTGAAGTGTGTTAAATGGCTTGGAAAGGTTTATTTCACCATTTCTTCAACTGGATATCATCATTCTATCATATCCAATGTACAGTGGTACAGTGCAACTGCAACATTGAATCAAGAAGGAGAAAGCAGTGTTATATGTCTCGTCTGTGGTGGTGTTGTTGGCGACTAGATTTCATCAGTCAAGCCCTTGATATAATCATTCATTAAAGTCAGAGGACTCGCCACCACAGTGCCACCGCTTTACATTGATGTTAGACGATTGCGGTCGATTTGTACCTGTCGGTGAGATGTGTGTTTGTTTTGAGATCCGGAGACTGTAAATTTCGACAACAACAATACAAAATGTTTGTTGTCTAAATGCCAACAGTGAAATTATTAAATTTCTACATGACTTATCAGTAATACTCCATTAACATTAAGAGAAAATCTAAGTCATTTTCCTCGGAATTATTCAACACAATAAAACTTTAGGAATTAACTATTCAATGAGTTACTTTATTTGTGAGTCAGTTGCCCTTATTAATAAAAAAACAGTTCAATTATTCTTCAAGTATTGGTTTTGTAGGGTACAGTAGGGTACAGCAGGCTGAAGATGAGGCAGTAACTCATATAAGAAGACGTTGAGAAATGGTTGCGCTATGTCATGATTCGGCATTAGTTAGAATTCAACGATCACTGAATCGGATCCCAGTGGCTCAATGGTTTACGAGCTGGCTGGCCTTGCAACCAGAAGGTCCTGGGTTTGAACCCTGGAGGCGGGTGTGTACTGTGAAGAGTCTCAAACTGGCACGAAACAGCCATCCAGTAGATCCAGGTTTTCCAGTGGTCCTCTATCTGATGTCAGCTCATGATGAAATCCCCCATGAAATTCGTTTTTTAATCTTTTAGTACACGTGCAAAAGCGGTGGCGATATTGATATCGACTTCAGTGGACAAACTGTTACATGCGCCAGAGGTGAAAGAGACAAAACTGCTAAATTTGATTTGGACGGTAAAAATTATGAAGTGAATATAAGATGTCCTGATGCAAATGTATTATGCAATGTGAGTATGTGTTTCGAAATCAATCTACTCGGTATTTCTGCACTTTGTTTATTTGTCAAAATTGAAATATTTTTGCTTCAAATTCACATTCAACCTTTGAGTGAATTTTCGGATGGTAGAGGAACCTGAGTCGTTCAGCTTATGAGACCGAGTTCGTTGACCTATTCAGACACTTGGGCAGGAATTCACTAGCGATATATCAATATCCCAATCAATACTTTCAATGAAAATCCCCATCACCTATGCCTGGTGTACCCAACGGGTCACGAGTTCTCACCAAAGCTTCATCAGGGAGTTGGAAATCGATGTTTGGATAATGCAACATTGTTAAATACTTGTTCCTCGTATCATTTTACGTTAGATAAGTTTATCCAGTGGAACACTTAGTGATGCAGCACCAATTACTGGATGATGTTTCGAGCACAATTTATCCCTCATAATCATGTCAATTCTACTTTTTAGCATAGAATTACATTCTACCAAAGTACCTGAAATTCCACAATTACATTAATGCTACTTCGTATCATTTCTTCAGCTGACTAGATGCATATTTATGTCTGACATATAAGGAATTGTAATTTCCAGAATGGTACTTAAATACACTGCCTTTATGTGTGAGATTAGAAGTCATTTTCAGAAAGTGCAGAATATTAATTTTTCAGTGAACTTCAACTTATATAGATAAATCTACAAATTTCTGGCTGACATATAAATGAAGTGAACCTGCTCCAAATTTAGAATTGAATCACAGAAATGAGAGTTTTCTGAATCTGAGATAAAACTGCTTGCATATTTTTTGCGCTGCGCTACAAATGTGTTCGAATTTATTCTATTTACTTCACTATTGGACTTGCAAGTTTTACACCTTTAACGTAAATTCATGCGATTGTAAACGGTGCTGAGAATTAAGTTTCATTAGGAAAATATCGTTTAAAGAAAGGTTGTTGCATTGAACTTATCCTTCTGTTTCTTCAGTTTTCTTTTTTCCTTCGGTGTCTGATTGAGTCTCAGTATAGAAATTTGTACAGTAGTACAGCAGTTTAAGTATTCACTTTCCATGAAGCACACAAAAGCAGAGTAATGTAAGAAAAAAGAGTTTCCACGGAGCTATAAGGAGCAGAAATATACGTGAGAAAGAATAGTAACAAGCAAAAACACCAGAGTTTGATGAATCTAGGAGGTCACAAAGAGTGAATGCATCTACACCATTGTAAACGACTTTAAGCCATCTCACCAATAGTCTCCGGCCATCGATCCGTAGCATTCCGAAAACTCCACTAGATAGTCTAAACCTCCCTATGTATCTCAAACTAACTGTCAAAAATTGATGGACTGATTGCAGGTTTCAATTTGACCACACCTTACTCTTTCCTGACCTAGCTCTATGTCAGCTAGCTAACACTGCTGGATGAAGAAGGTGAGGGCTCGGCATACGTAATGCGTACCCTAGCCGTCTCACTTCATGTAGCTTCAGAAATTCATAGATTGATTTACCCTTCTTAACTATTACTCTACCTAATTTAGAGCAGAAGCAAGGCATAGATATTACAGGTAGGAAAGCAACTGACACATAGCAAACTGTTGTCAATAAAATTTAAATGATGGCGGAACTTTTAGGGAGTTAAGGTTCTACTATAATTCGACATCTTCTCCAGAACTGGTTGCCCTGAAAGAGCACTGAATTTCGTAGGTTCTGCAGGAAAATGTACCTGTTTACACGGTGTGCATTACCACCACAAATATGATGACATTCGCAAGTATTAGCAAGGTATACCTGCACAGTGCTTAAATCATCAACAGTTCAAAGTGTACAGTCATTAGGCTTCAGAAACTTCAAGACTGAAATTATAGCTTCACAAATTTACAGATACTAAATAATAATTTCTAATCATTAGAGAATAAATTTCTCAGAATATAGAGACACTTCTGATTTCATTTCAATGGGTCCAGTCGGATGTTTTTGAAATGCTTTTTCTTAAAATAACAGTAATGTATGGTAGAATTCCATCTGTTTACTTTTGATATATACGCTACTTTTTCAGACATGAACTGGGCGGAATGAAACCATCAAGGGACTTCAATTACATTTCAATAATTACTTTAAATGAATCATGTGTGCTGTGATTAACAAAGTTAATACATTTGATACATAACACAAATTGCTTACTTGTTTTCATTACGACACATCCTCCAGAGAGAATTAGTACATGGTTGCTTGCTTGTTCAAGAAGCTGACTTATCAAATACTGTACAATCATCTAAATCTCACAGGACATGAATTGTCTTCAAACTCTGATATATTTAGACTAGTGTCAAATCAAAATATTTAGACTTTGCTAAACCTGACACAAAACTCAACATGAAGAGGAGTCAACCGCTGGTACACTTATCACATCTTTATAACATGGTCCCGATGATTCCGTGATTTCCTTAGCACGCCAAGTGTTTTCAGTTGTCGACTGAATAAACAGACTTCAGGAGTGACTAACAGCAGTGGAAAATTCAGATACCATTTCTGTATTTTATCATCACTATTCTCTTAGGTTCCAAGTGGAACAAAGGCCTTCAGCAGTATATCTCCAGTTTATCCAGTCTTCTGTAGTTTATTTTATCTGGCTGCATGATCACTCATAGTTTCTCAGCTTCTCCCCTATGATTTCGCAGATATCGCTCTCGGACCATACACACTTCTTCGTTTCTCGTTCAGGTTCCAATTGAGAGCATAAGCAGTGCTTGACGCCAATCAACGGTCTCCTCAGAGGACTGTCAATCCACCTCAGTTCTCTTATGCATATATTTTATAGCATTCAGTTGTTGGCTGATCCGCTACCAAAGCTTCTTGTTGTGTGTTATTTCTCGTCGGCCATCTGATCTCCAGTATTCAGAGAAGGCAGGTGTTGATGAAAGTCTGCAGCAACCTGTTGGAACTGCACTTGATGACACGCACACCAAGTCTGTGAACCATAAAAAGCACTGTTTTTACGGTGATGTTGAAGATCCACATCTTCTTCTTTATTCCGAGTGCAGTGGATGTCCAAACCAATTTCACAGTAACGAAGCTTTCACATGAATGCAATAAAGCAATTCTTCTATGACAGTGTTCCTAATTGAAATAGTGAATCTAACTATTTAAGCCTTGTAACCAGAAGGTCCTGAGTTCGAATCCCGGTGGGTGCGTACTGCTGAGGAGTCCCAAACTAGGACGAAACAGCTTTCCAGTACTCCCAGGTTTTCCAGTGGTTCTCTAACTGATGTCAGCTCATGATTAAATCCTCCATGCAAACAAATACTGGGATCAATTCTAAAATGTAAATAATTATCACAAAGTTATGACAGTATTTGCAATAAATGAAATGTGTAGTTTTCTTCGGATAGTAAAATTACTCGACATACTTCATAGTTGTTTCTTCAAATTTAAAATATCAGTGCCTACTGGTGGCCATCTAAGGCACACTCCCTCGATATGTGGCGGAGCTCTACAATAATGGAATTAAAAGGTAGTATTTAAAAACGTGATAACAGTCTATGATTTAGATGATTCGCAACAGTACCATTCAAGGAACAACCTAGAAATTTATGGAAATATATATATATATATCAGTAGCACAGTAAAAGTTATTATCAAAGGTGAGATATCAGTTGATTCCAAAACTCAGGTTACTAAATAAGCGTCGAGTACAAATTTTTCCTGTCATGCATATATAAATATATGCTCACAAATTCGAAGGGTCACTACGTGATGTTGGAGAGAAATCGAAGAAATAGAAACAAATCAGCGTCGTCTACATTCAATTGATTTTGAAGACAACAGAGAGTGAGGATGTCGGATAGTGGGAGAGATGTTTGTAGACGAGTAACGGACGGATTTTGAATGAGATAAGAGTGAGTAGACTAGAAGTGTTACTTGATGATGTAGATAATTTTAGGTTGGTGAATATTTTGTAGGTTCTTTGAAGCGATGAGTGATATTTGTTCTGTGAATGTTGAAGTTAATATGTTGTCATGGTGTGTTATTGTGTCGGTTATTCGTGTGTGTGTATGTGTGTGTGTTTGGAGGCTGTGGAAGGGCAGATGACGGATGATGTAGGTATGTATGTGCACACGCACACTTCCTCACTCCGCGTACATGTTCACATAGACTCGAGTGCATTCGAGATGAACCGGGAATTTCTCCTATAATCTCAGGCATCAATTACAGTCAAATATTTCTCAACGTACTCTACATATAAACTAGCCGAGAAACTCATGATGAGACATACACAAGAGAGATAGATATAGATGGACAGAAAGAAAGACGGGCAGAAATTGGCGAGTGCCTGTAGACAAATACGAATCCGAACGTCAGCACATACTCCCTCAAACAGAAACACTCCAATTCATAAATATAAATCCACTGATACGAAATGAGTGATACAGTACAGTATAGCACGAGTGTCGGAAGAAATGTCGTGTGGACGAAGACTATGTTCTTCTCTTGTGTGAACAAGCCCACCCATATGTGATGAAGAGTAATGACAGGTAAAAAGCAGTACTTCAATTTGTATTCGACTGACGAGACACTGACACACAGTAAAGGTAAAAAATTGCACTTAGATATGTTGATCGGTGGTTAGACGAAGAGAGAGATAGACGATGGTAGAGCGTGTCTACTGTGTGGGTGTGATTTATATGCATATGTGTCTACGAGAGTGCATCTATCTCTGAAAGTGTGTCTACCACTGTAACAACAGAAGACAAAGGCCAGGCAACAAATCGTTTTATTATGAAAATCAACACGTATTTATACATATTTCACATACATTATTATAGCTTATGCAAGTAGACAAGCGCAGTCTTCTGATTGGTTGTTTATCAGAAGTTAAGCAGAAAAACGCAGGCTTCTGATTGGTTGCTTCGGGATTCCTCGAAAAATAGAGTTCTCTATCTGCGAATCATATTTGGCCACGTTAAGTCTGCTGTGATTGGTTGCTGAATCAGCCTTGCTCATATTTTCTCACGGCCACCTCTCACCACACCACCAAGGGTGTTATTTAAGAATTTCGACACAGTGGTTATATCAAGGTAAGTGTAGATGGATGGGTGGATATATTGGTTGTGTGTGATTTTGTGAGGATGAGTAAGTGTTGAGT